ATTTCTGAATGAAGTATTTGCATGCTTACATTATAGGGATTAAGATCAATCGCATTTGCATTACGCCCTTTAAATTTGAGAGTGATGACAGTTGAGAGAGAGGACTATTTGGTGTTTACAAATTTAACAAGTTACTTTACAGTGAAATATATATATTAGAGTTTCTATTTAGTTACCATTTCAGTAAAAGCGGCATTCCTGAATCACGGTAGCACTAGGCTACTATAGAATGCGCTATATAGCCATTGTTTTAAGGCATATCAGTAAAAGATTGATTGTCAATCAACATACAAACATCAATGGCCGAGGGTGATCGTTAAATGTGCGTGTGTGTGCTAAAATTCATGTTAGCAGACCGTAAAAAAGAACAATTTGAAAAGAAACAAATAAACCTGAACTTGAAAATATTAACAGTACAGTAGCCCCCCATCTAACGATGTTCCACGGCCAGTACTGAACATACTATAGTATTTAAATTGTAATTAAAACCACTTAAAAGTCATGACCCTATTAACGCATATTATGAAACAATCTGTTGAGTCAAACCATTTAAATTAATTAACGCGCAATAAAAACACACATAACGCAACACAAAATTACATGCTATTTAGCACGCATTTTCAAATTTCAAACAAAATATATAATGCAAAAAAGCTTACAAAGTCAGCTTTTTTTCATTAGCATATTGAAATCAGAACTAAAGATGGATCTTTTCTTAGCAAATCATTAAACCAAAATAATTTCCAGCATGCAATTTAGAAGCAGTTATTTTGCGTAATTTTATATTCAATTATTTTGCGTGATTTTATATTCAATTATTTTAAGGAACAACAACAAACTTCCTTAAGAAAACACCAAAACAATTATTCTGGATTTATTTAAACAATTATAAACTGGATTTATTGAAACCCCAAAACTAAAAAGAGTACAAAGATAAAAACTAGACTGAATGATATATAGTTTGAAAGTGGCACGAGACACACAGTAGATTTGCAAGGCAATTGCTGCATGGTGTTGTGTCCGGTAGCTAAATAATACTGCATGTAAAAAGGACTAAAACAAGTTAAGATATGAGAATGAAATTTCATTGGTGACTGTACTTATATTATATGCGAAATGTTGTGTCGAACACATTACAGATATATTTTTCCGCCGAGCAAGTTGGATTTTGTTAAAAGCCGTATTGCTAAGATGCATGATATTGTGGAAAAGGTAAGCAATAAGTTATTCAAGCATTTTACTGATTTTAAATTTATTTTTATGTCAGTTATTCTGGTTAATGAAATATAACGGCAAAATTTGTGTCCGCTTATTTTTTTCTCGGGTATAAACTGCACCGGACTTTAGTTATTCATTCCATTGGTCTGCAGCAATAATAGAGGATGGTATAGTGATAATAATAGTATAGTTAAATATATTCAAATAGGCTTCTCAAGAGAAAAAATGAGAAAGATAGCTATACAAGTATTTGTCCAGAATAACCGGGCTGAGCCATGCCGCACGTGCATGCGTTTTCCGAAAAAGATCGAAAGAGACAAGTGAAATTGCAGCAAAAAGTTTTCAAAAACATTGATGATTGATGAAGATATGGTTCTAAACCATTTCAGAAACCATGTTAAAACATTTTATGTTTCAGAAATGAACATTTATATTTCAGAAATGAGCAAAATTTATTCTCCACTGCCTTAGTAGACCTTGCAAGGATTGGTTTAGTTTTATTATTGAAGAGCATCTATTCTAGTCCAGTGAAAATTTTAACGTAGTCATGGATTTGTTTTTTCTAGATAACGACGCATCACCCTATCCAAGGGTAGCACCAACTTACACTTACCTGGATGAAACGGAGTTGATAAAACTGAATTTGCTTTTATTTATTCCTATGGAAAGGACAGTATGACATGTTTTGCAGCAACCATATAGGGAGAATGACGAATCAAATATTTAAATGTATAGTAGGTTTAATTCTTTAACTCGAATCTGATTGAATGACGTTTGGCCAATATGTGGTTATTGTGTTATCCCTTTTTTATTTTATTATACTTCAATCTCTGTCTGAGAAAAACGTTTGATGCAACAACAATGGAGGCCTCTTAAACGTGCGAAAATATCGCCGAAGAAACCAGGGCCGTAACTAGAACGATAATTGGGGGGTGTTTATTCATATATTCAGTTCTGACCAACGGATTTCTTTTGTAAGTGCAAAAGCTCACACTGGATCCGTTGGGCGGAACTGAATATATGAGTAAACACCCCCCCCCATTTATCGTTCTATTAACGGCCTTGGAAGAAACCTTTCCGAAGTGTGCGAAGGCAACTGGCATGTAAGTATCGAGTGTGTGATTTGTATGATAGGAAAATAATTTGCTTCTCTGAATTCCAAAAGCTCAATTCTCTCGTATTTTACGCAACCAATGAATGCTTAACCTAATTAGTTTCTCAATTATTTCGTACTGTGGCAAGGCGGTTTAGTCCAAAAAAAGGCTAAAAAAGGAAATATGTTTTTTGACAAAAGAGAGACAGTAGCACTTTTACAGGCGACAATAGACCTCGAACGTAAAGGCAATCTCGCTATATAGCGATAACGCTATATGGGTGATTGGAAATGCATTATCAATGACAAGGTCTGCAAAGAATCAGGACTTACAGAAAAGTACAGCCAAATACAGCTTATAAATAAAGTAAAACGCTGCGATAGGGACGGGAAATATGCTAATTTCAAGTGACATGCCTTCCATATAATTATGACAATGTGCTGTCACATTTTATAAGTATACATTAACATTATGTCTGTACATTTCTTGAACTTTTGAACATCATGTAATACAACTTAATAGGGTAATGATTAATAATTATGTTATGTGTTAGAGAATAGCTACCTTCACTCCGCTATTCAGCCTCCAGTATTTGCGTACTTTATATATCCCTCATAGTGTAGGGAATTCATTAAATTCCATTTAATTAATTAAGAGTGGCTTGATTAAGATATAAGATCACTGGGATCCATAGGCCCCTTGTGATCTTTTACCTAATTCTCGGGATTCTATATATCTCATGGAGACGTGATTATTCTGTAACCATTACTTAGTCATGCCAAATTCAATTGTATCTTAAAATTACATAAAATAATCTTACGACAACGTGCCTTTGAGAGGTATGACAGGGGACTATCATTTGCAAGTGATTTTTCCTAATTTACAAATAGGCCTATGTACAACTTGCTTTTAGTTTAAAAGAAGTTGAATTTACTTTACCAGGTTGTAATTACCTATGCAATTTGTAACAATAAGAGCATTTCTTGTTTTTTAGTAAAAAATAAAAAAAGCACTTAAAGTTAGAATATCTTGAATAGTTCTTGTATGGAATATAAATGTTGTTTGAGATTTTTAAACCGTAAAGAAGCATAACATCTTCCACTTCCAAAGCATCTTCTAAAAACATTGCTAAAATAGCCATCTGGTATTCAGCTCTGTTCATGTTTACAAAATTAGTACCGTGTTCGTAGTCGTATAACTTTGACAGAACTGCTAAATTCAAATATCCTGCTGCACGAAGACTTAAGACGAAGACTACTATTCCCAGTCTACCTCGGCCAAAATACGTCTTCGTCTTCGTACTTCGTTTCCTTGCTCAAACTCGCTTGTACCTGTTCTGAAACAATAATTTTTCAATACCCACAGGCATTCGATATTGAAGCAGCAAAATTAAAAAAACGCATTTTTAAATGTAGTGAATTGGTTTAACCGTGT